GTATAGAATATTTAGCGCATCCATGTCTACTATGGCGAAGAGCATTTCCTCTGTTGGATACACTGTTGCTGTCGCTTTGCTTTGTTCATGTAATAAATCACACTCCGGCCATATACTTGATACATACACGAATGAATTGCATTTGTCACTGCTTTAGTGTATGCATGTGTGTGTCTCTATATATACTACGTATATTAGTGTGTGTGTCTATTAGCTAAATGTTAGTTAAAATTAATGGGGTAATTGAAGTATCAAACAAAAAAATGAGGTTGAAGTAGAAGTTTGTCTAGAATACGTAACTAGCTTTTTTTTGGGTGGGGCACCCCTGGGGGGTTGGGTGGAGGGGGTGTTAGGAAATTGATAATTGATGTAACGTACCTCGAAAGTACGGCAGCGGAATTTTAAAATTTTCCCAAACAGATCTTTCCTGATTATGACAAAATAACGAATATGATAATTATAACAGATCTGAGTTAGAACTTACAGATCTTCCAGCCTAGCGGTTATAATCCTTGACCTTAGGTATCCACGTGATTTCTCCTCTCCGAAAGAACGGTTAGATCTCCCTAAGAGAAAGGCTAGGAAATCTCTTTGCGGGGAAATAAACTGGTAATACTGAATCTAAAAACTGGTCATACTGAATTATGAAGGAGGAGGGTGTATTTATACTAGTTCTAAACTAGTTTCCCAATCACAATGAAAATGTTCTTCATTAATGAGTTCTAATCCTAACAGGACCAATACTCCTTATTAATTAAATAAGTAGATAAAACAAAACCAAATAATAATAATAATAATAATTGAGATGTGGCTGCACGCCACTTTCTAATTATTATATATTAATATTTATTTTATTTACTTTTCTTTTAATTCAAAATTACAAAAGAAAATATCTACTTTATTTAATAATAAATACATCTTATTTAAGTATGATAAATCAAATTTATCTTACTTAATTAATTCTATCAAATAGAACTCTCCTTCAGCTTCATGAATTAAATATGTTTAATCTAATTAATATTTAATTCATTTTCAGTATTACAAATTAAATATTATTTAATCCAATTAATAATATTTAATTCCTTCTAACAATTCAATCGAAAGGTATAATCACTTGTTGTGTGACCCATAGGGCCTTATATATTAAGCACTAATCAAATTAAGGTCTTAGCGAATCCCTAGACGATTCTCCAGACAAACTTAATATATAAGGACGTTTGTGAGGACTATACAAACTCCCTGTAATATAGAGCTCATAGTGATACGGTCCTTTCATTCAAACGAACATTCAACTAAGTCTAGAACATGATATTGTGTCTATTCCAATAACTCAGTCTCTGTCTCTCAATCTTTCTAGATGATCTATTACGATCATATTCGATATCCAAAACGAATATATCTTTGCATTGGCCAATGACTTTATGATCCATCTATATATGAGAAGTAGAATGTTCTCTCTTAATCTATTATGAGGAATGAATCCTTTCTTGGCTCAACTACTACTCCATGTGCTTCGTGATGCACCCAACACATGCCGTATCTACCCCGATTGGAGTGCAAGCGTTGGTCATGGTCAAAGTACATCACTCCGCACATGTAGTACGTATTGACCTCAAGTCGGAGGATTATTACACTACTCTATACGCCGATAATCCCATAGACACATGAATAGAACTTATCAAATGGTTTCTCGGTGGGTATGCCAATATTCTCTAAAATATCTATGTGACCCTCATGAATTACAGGAACTCATAGTTGTGAGATCAACTATACTTTCTAAAAGTATGATGCAGTCCACATACCAATCTTATCGCATATCATCAATATCCCATTCTTGATGATCATTGATTGGGGCTATTTTAGGACCTTATGTGATATCATATAAGCTCCCACTTACTTATTGATAACATAAGTCCAAGGGAACACAATTATGAATAAGATATTGACAATCAAAATACTTAATCATCAATGTGTAATACCGCATATATCGAATATATAAAACTGAATGTGATCAAGTACATATATCTCTAAAAAGTGATTGTCGCTAGGACATATATACTAACAATCTCCCACTTGGCCTAGTGCCAATCACCGGTGTGTCTAACACCTAGACTCTCAAAAGTCTAGTGTGTTTCTCACATCTCAAAGGTTTGGTGAATGAGCCAGCCAAATTGTCCTCTACGGGAATGCGTTCTATTGCAACTTCTCATCTTGCTATTTGTTTCAAAACATGATAGCATGCTGGTATTTTCTAGTTCCTTACTTTGCATCTTGGTTCCTTAGCTTGCGCAAATATACCGGTACAGTCACAATAACAATTATTGGATAACTGTCGCCAGGAACTACCCCTATTTCTTTAAGGAACTAACGTATCTAAACACCTACCTATGTTGCATCAAATGCAACAATTTACTAGGCTCTAGTTGTCGAATTTATAGTAGTTTCTTACTTGCAACTCTTTCAGCACTACTATTACATTGAGACTAAAAACATATACTGACTGTGACTCGCAATCTTTCTTATCATACATGAAACTAGTGCTAGAATAATTAAATTCTACCAGTTCTTTCTGTCTACCATAGACAAAAAGATATTCATAAAGATTTTGGGTGACCATTCATTCACGGACTTCAATGAGGGGATATCATTCTCTATTATCAACATATATGATTATAAAGACCACTCTATCCTTGTTGCGCACTCTAAACACGCAAGCACTCTCATTTCATTTGATGAGGTCAAACGATTTGACTATTTCATCAAAATTAATATTTCAACTCCTAGAGGCTTGTTTTAGCCCATAAATAGATTTCTCTAATTAACATAATGATTTAGAATTTGACATGGATGCAAAAATCTTCAGGTTGTACCATGTACACCTCCTCCTTGAGGTTTCCATTAAGGAAGTGGGTTTTGACATCCATTTGTCAAATCTCATAATCATACTATGCAGCTATCACAAGCAAAATCCGAATGGACTTGAGTTTTGCAATTGGCAAATAGGTATCACTATAGTCAATTCCTTCTCTTTGACTATAATCTTTAGCCACTAGCCTAGCTTTTTAGGCTTGCACCTTACCTTCAGCATCAATTTTCTTCTGAAAAATCCTTTGCATCCAATGGGTCTAACCCAACAGGCAAGTCAACCAAGTTCCATACTTGATTGATATACATCAAGTCCATTCTAGATTTCGTGCCCTCTCGCCACCTCTCTGAATCAATATCTAATATTGCTTCAGTGTAAGTCTTAGGTTCATCCTTGTCAGGAATTTCAACATCATCATGATCCTCCATGAGGAAGCCTAACCTAGTTAGTTCATGATGAATCCTAGTAGACCCGCAGAGTTGATTGTTTTTGCGTTTTGTTCAGGCTGTTCATTCTGATCGTGAAGAGGTTCTCTTTTATTGGACTATCCAATGCTTAGAGACTTTTCCGGTGCTACACTTTTAAGTATTTCCAGAGAAAGAGAAGTGGGTGCAGAAGGAATGACAACCATGTCATCTTATGTTTAATAAGAATCACTTGCTGGTGCGAGGTGATTCCTATATTACTCCCACTAGCTGAAGGATATCCTCCTAGAGACATTCTTCAAGTCAATTCTCCCACTGAATCCTTCGTCAGACCATCTAACAAATCTTCATTCTCTATGTTACTTCAGCTTTCAATTTGATTAGTGCACATTTCTTTACATATGTAGGGCAACCCATATTTAATATGTGAAGAAAATGTCTTTTATTATACTATAACTCATATAGTACATTTTGTACTAATCAAACTATTCAGAATGTATATTGAGATTTATAGCGTGTACCCTCAAAAGAATGTTTGGAAGAGAAAATGAATCCATCATAGATCTAGACATGTCTAACAAAGCCCTATTTCTCCTTACAGAAATGCCAGTCTTCTAAAGTGTTCTGGAGGAGTTTATGACCGAATTCTTTGACCTTTTAAATAAATCATAAATTTTACTTAAGTACTCTTTGACTTGCTATCCCTTTTCCTAGAAAAGGATTATTAGTCAAGTTGCTTGAAAGACAAGATTCGCAATTTCCATATGACCCAAAAGCAAATGGTGTTAAATAATCTAATTCATTTAACGTTGCTATTCTTGTTTCATTAATTTGACCAAGTTTGCAATGTCATAGATAGGTAGTAATTTTTCTGATTACTTAATCGAGATCCTTTTATTTTATTCATTTAATATCTAATATGTCGATTGATAATTAACCATTCATAAGAAAAGCATTTCCACAACAACACCATTTTATAAAAATAACAATTATTATTAGCAAAATGGAAATAGAAATCTTTTAATGTCTAGCATATGAATGGAAATAATCTTCTTGGTAATAGAAGGAATAAAATAACAATTATTTAATTCTAATCTAAAACCACTGGGCAAATCTAAACTATAAGATCCTATCACGTTCAGCAGCAACTTTTGCTCCAGCCTTCACGCGTAGGTTAATTTTACCCAGTCCAACTGCTACACTGCTTCTCAGGCTTCTGCACAATTTTACAAATGTGTAAGCCATAAGTTGTATCTAATACTTTAACAATGAGAGTTAGTTATATACATATTTATTTAATGATAAAAATACCTGAGCTTGAAGCACCCGGTGCTTTGGCTAGATTAGCCTTATACAGCTCACAATCTCTCTTCCAATGCCCCTTCTCTTTGCAGTAGAGGCAAACATCCTTTGCAACCTTTGGCTTCATATGACCTCCACCTTTAGGCTTCAGAGCTGTAGGAGTAGGTCCAACCTTACCTTTCTTCTTTTGCTTATTCTTGTTCTTAGAACGAGACTTAGCATTAGAGCTTACCATAAGAACAGTCTTTCCTTTAGAGGTTGAGGCTTCATAAGACTTGAGCATGTTATGGAGTTCAGGCATGGTCGCTTTCGTTTTGTTCAAATTATAATTCACAATGAAGTTAGTAAATGAACTCGGAAGCGAATATAGGATGATAGCAGTTGAGACACGATCCTCAAACTTAATTCCGGTGGTAGCAACTCTTTCAATTAAGCCAATCATTTTGAGGACGTGCTCAGACACGTTGCCACCCTCTTGAAGCCTACACTTGAAAATGTCTGTCAGAAGTTCATACTCTAGAGTCTGACTCTCTGAATCAAACAGACTTTTCAAGTGTTCAAGCATCTCGAAGGCGCTCATCCTATCGTGTTGCCTTTGCAACTCCATAGACATTGCAGCCAACATAACACATTGCACAGTTTTAGCATCAGTAACGTGTTTCTCTCGAGCAGTCAGGTCAAACGTGGCAAACTCGAGAGAGTTAGCATCAGGAATCTTGGGTACCGGCGTGTCTAACACATACTCAATATTTTCTTGTCTAAGAACTAAACGCACATTTCTTTCCCAGTCCAGAAAGTTTGGTCCAGTAAGCTTGCATGTATCCAAGATACTTCTCAATGATAAATTCGACATTCCTAAAAGCCTAAAGAAGTTCAAATAGAACGGAATTAAAATCATATATTAATTCATATGATCACATCTAGTTAACTAAATAATATGGACTTTTAATTATTTAGCTCCCACTATTTTGCATGCTCTTTGACCCCAATAAAAAGAACATGGAATGTTTTACAATCATAGTGGCCAAAATCCTCATTCATACTATTACAGTCCCAGCTTGGGCTGATCACTGCAATAATATAATGGGTAGGTCCCTAGACCAATTGCGTCCAAGCAACTTTTGGTTGATCAATTTTTAAATTGATCGACATCCCTAAATTAACACTGACGCTTGGGCGACTCGAGCTAATTTAAGTAAGTCAAAACCATCACACGATCACAAACATGTGTATCTATAAATTAGTTCTATATTTTGTCGAATGGGATAAACACTTGGGTGAAATATTCTTCAACGAAAAAATATTTCTACTAATTTAATTATGATGGGTGATGTCGTTATCCCAGATAAGACTTAAATTTTAACTTATGGGGAACATTTAGCGGGGTATTAAATTGTTTAATCAAGATGCTAATAACATATTATCAAATAATATGTTAACGAGATCTAACTCAGACAGATAATTTAAAGAATGCAATATAAATCTAATTTATAAACAGATACAATTATCATATAACTAATTAAGCATGCTTAAAAATAATAATACAATCATGGTAAACGAAACTCATAGAAACATGATCTAATCTCATCTCATCTCATCAGAATTAAGTCACGTTAGTGTTATGTAGTGGTACTTCCGAAATTTAAATAATCAAATTATTAGCCTACAACAAGTCTTCTTCAAAGAGACTTAAAAGCAAACTCAACTTCTAAGGGTTCTATGCGGATCGAACTTACCTCAAACAAAGTCCCATTTAACTTGCAATTTCTAAAATTTTGCAATAAGCCCTTAGGTTAAATCTAATTCACCAAAAGAACCCCAAACAACCCAAACAACCCAAGGTGAAAACTGAAAACAGCCACGGGAAAAGAAAAAAAAAAAAACGCCAGACGATTCGAACGCGATGTTATCGCTGAAAACAAGCATTGATAACCGAATCTCACTGCCCGGGGGTTGTTCTTCATCGTCTCCAACAAAATCGTATTTATACGGAGCGTTCAAAAAAAAAAGCTCGAACCACCATTAATGGCGATCGAGTTTTGTGGGAGAAAACTGTGGAGGCCGCAGAAGCTCCAGGTCGAACGTATTTGGTCTGCTATCGTAGAGATCTTCCAGGCGAAGGTTGATTAACAGGTCCAAGCTTTAGGTCGATCGTCAAATAATGAAAACTTAGCCCCTTTCGGATTTAGACGATGAAATCGTAGGGAAAGAGTTTCAATTTTACAATTCTAGATTTCGATTTCAAAAACATATCTAAATATCTAAGAACCAGTAACCACGATTCCAACTTTTGCAGGTGGTGCATCAATTCTCTCCAAGATTCAACGTGTATTCTTAAATTAGAATTGATTTGAAAAAATCAAAATTTCAATTCCTTCAAAAACGAAATTTGGGCAAAAACATAATATAAAAATTACGTACTTCGATCCAAAAATGAAGTCCGTATAACTACAAAAATTCGTATAATGTCATTAGAATCAGTTTAGCTCTGATACCACTGTTAGGAAATTGATGTAACGTACCTCGAAAGTACGGCAGCGGAATTTTAAAATTTTCCCAAACAGATCTTTCCTGATTATGACAAAATAACGAATATGATAATTATAACAGATCTGAGTTAGAACTTACAGATCTTCCAGCCTAGCGGTTATAATCCTTGACCTTAGGTATCCACGTGATTTCTCCTCTCCGAAAGAACGGTTAGATCTCCCTAAGAGAAAGGCTAGGAAATCTCTTTGCGGGGAAATAAACTGGTAATACTGAATCTAAAAACTGGTCATACTGAATTATGAAGGAGGAGGGTGTATTTATACTAGTTCTAAACTAGTTTCCCAATCACAATGAAAGTGTTCTTCATTAATGAGTTCTAATCCTAACAGGACCAATACTCCTTATTAATTAAATAAGTAGATAAAACAAAACCAAATAATAATAATAATAATAATTGAGATGTGGCTGCACGCCACTTTCTAATTATTATATATTAATATTTATTTTATTTACTTTTCTTTTAATTCAAAATTACAAAAGAAAATATCTACTTTATTTAATAATAAATACATCTTATTTAAGTATGATAAATCAAATTTATCTTACTTAATTAATTCTATCAAATAGAACTCTCCTTCAGCTTCATGAATTAAATATGTTTAATCTAATTAATATTTAATTCATTTTCAGTATTACAAATTAAATATTATTTAATCCAATTAATAATATTTAATTCCTTCTAACAATTCAATCGAAAGGTATAATCACTTGTTGTGTGACCCATAGGGCCTTATATATTAAGCACTAATCAAATTAAGGTCTTAGCGAATCCCTAGACGATTCTCCAGACAAACTTAATATATAAGGACGTTTGTGAGGACTATACAAACTCCCTGTAATATAGAGCTCATAGTGATACGGTCCTTTCATTCAAACGAACATTCAACTAAGTCTAGAACATGATATTGTGTCTATTCCAATAACTCAGTCTCTGTCTCTCAATCTTTCTAGATGATCTATTACGATCATATTCGATATCCAAAACGAATATATCTTTGCATTGGCCAATGACTTTATGATCCATCTATATATGAGAAGTAGAATGTTCTCTCTTAATCTATTATGAGGAATGAATCCTTTCTTGGCTCAACTACTACTCCATGTGCTTCGTGATGCACCCAACACATGCCGTATCTACCCCGATTGGAGTGCAAGCGTTGGTCATGGTCAAAGTACATCACTCCGCACATGTAGTACGTATTGACCTCAAGTCGGAGGATTATTACACTACTCTATACGCCGATAATCCCATAGACACATGAATAGAACTTATCAAATGGTTTCTCGGTGGGTATGCCAATATTCTCTAAAATATCTATGTGACCCTCATGAATTACAGGAACTCATAGTTGTGAGATCAACTATACTTTCTAAAAGTATGATGCAGTCCACATACCAATCTTATCGCATATCATCAATATCCCATTCTTGATGATCATTGATTGGGGCTATTTTAGGACCTTATGTGATATCATATAAGCTCCCACTTACTTATTGATAACATAAGTCCAAGGGAACACAATTATGAATAAGATATTGACAATCAAAATACTTAATCATCAATGTGTAATACCGCATATATCGAATATATAAAACTGAATGTGATCAAGTACATATATCTCTAAAAAGTGATTGTCGCTAGGACATATATACTAACAGGGGGTTGGGGGGTCCCAGGGGGAGGGAATACAAGAGTTCAAACTGATCCCGACGAGAATTGAACTCTTGACCTCTAGGATAACCGAGTGACTGCACAACCAACTAAACTAATTGCTTCGTTGAATATGTAACTAGCTAATTAGCAATGAATGCATGCATGCATGCATACATACACACACACATGCACGCGCACACACACACATATATATTTTTGTGTGTGAGAGGGAGAGGAATGATCATATCCAGTCGGATGGACAGGATTCTCTGTCACGCCGCCGTCGTTTGGGGAAGTTTTCGGTGGAATATTTTGATGATTTTTTTGAGCATTTTCTTCATGAAATCTAGTTTATGCCCACTAAATTTCAATCCAGAAAGCAGTCAAATAGTTTTTTGAAGATAATTGCGCCAGAATATACATATAAAACGTAGTTATTTTCAAATTTTTATTTGACTGCCTTTCCAGTTGAATTGTTAGCTGAAACTTGTTGGGCATAATATATGAAGAACATGCTCAAAAATGTTCATAAGAAATTTCACGGTGACTTGTCGCCAAACGGAGTATCCTGTCAAAAAGAATGAACAGAATCTCTTTCATATATATTATCTTTGTCCCGAAAAAGTTTGTCATGCCGATTTTTCTTAATCAATGGTGATAAACTTTGAATAATGATTTTAATTATTATATTTGTATAAAATTTATAAGTTTTATACTACCTCCGTCCCAAATTGATTTGCAAATTTGACTTTTTTTTGTCAAACAGTTTCATTTTATTTACTTAATTAGGATGTCAATTTTTAATTATATTCTAATTGGAGTTTACAACATTGAAGAGCTTTTAATGTAGTTTCTGAAATTATAAATTTTAATTATTGAAAAATGAATTAATTATCAATAAGGAGCATTGGCTTTTTTTTATTGGTTGACCAAAAATTGTTGACTTTGCAAAATAATTGGGAGAAGGAGTACTTTTTTGAAAATGGAGCATTTTGAACGGAAAAATCAATTTAGCCAACTTTTTCCGAATGGAGGGTCAAGCATTAATGTTTGATTATGCACGCAGTTTGGTTACTGATGATGATTCCGTGGAGCGATGCGGAGAGTTGTCATGTCTATGTACCGGACGGTCAGCCGAATTTGTCGTCTCCTTTGGATGGTTGCGATGACCCTACAAATACGACCACCGGCTGCTACGTGGAATGCCAAAACCAACTACATAGCCAACAAATCTATACAAGAGCAACTCCAAATTGCACTCAGACAAGTGAAATGCCTTGCGGCTGCACCTTGTGCGCAACCTAATCATTAAAGGAGTGTTTGCTGTTACTTAAAAAAATTACTTCTTACCTTTAACTTAAAATAAGCTCAGAAGAGTATTAGTTAATGCCCACTTCTACTTTTAAAAAGCACTTTAAAGTTAAAAGCTGAAAGCGGGTACAGGTGATGTTTTAAACTCATTTTCACTTTTTTTATTATGCAAAAAACACTTTTTTATAAAACATTATCCATTTTCACTTTCTCAAAAACACTATCAATTTTAGAAATTTAAAGCAATTGCAAACACTTCATCCATCCATCACCTCATTTCCGGCCATTCAAATAATTAAGCTACACATAATAACACGTATGTACCTACGGGTTTGTGGAGGCTAGCCA